CAGGCTATAAACAAGCTCATATTCGCACAAGAATCCTTTAATTAACCCTTTAACTACCAAGTCCTGAAGCTTAGCGTGTTATAACATAGGCTCTGGGTCAAATTTGGGTCAAATTTGACCCAGCTTGGTCGTTTAAGGGTTAAGAAGGGAGTACTTAACCAAGAGGAGTTCCAGAACAACGTGTTCGCGGATACCATTCCCCATTTTTTCGTCCGAAGGGTGGAATGAGGAAACTAGGAATTGAATCCGTGTATACTCCATGGAACATCAAGGGATGGACCTTCCCTGAAACGTACTATGATTAGGTTGCCGCAGAAAAAGCGGACATATATTGAGTGAAACATGCTTACACCTCGTTCGTACCATGCTTACACTTCGTTCGTACCATGCTTACACGCGTAGATACGCAATTAGGGCTCTGCTTGTCGCGGGCTTGCCATACACATAAGCCACACTTGGCCCACAGATGCATTAGACATGTTGCCACAGAAAACGTGGACGTTCAGGTTAAGGCCAATGCATATTACACCTGTGGAGCACATGTACATGTGTGGCTCGGTAATAAACACACTTGACCTGGGGATAAAATGCTGACTGGGTAGTTATCATTATTTCATTTGAAACACTAGCAGAGAGGTCAGTATTTCGATTCCTCATCATGCTCAATTCAACTCGCTGGTTGACGATTCGCCGATGTTTCAACTCATTACTGAAGTACAACTTATTCACTGTTCAACTTTATTTCTTAATTCGCCGAAAGACATCTTGCCCACGAGAAATCGTCAAATGTTCAAGTTGCCGACTTCATTATTGACTGCAGACAGAGCTGCCATCGATGCTTCTCTCCGTCGGCCTGATTACGGCAGGATCGGCATTAGGTGACACGAATGGTCTCCTAATCATATACGAAACCTGAATGGAGGGTATTAGTATTGGATTAGATAGAAAAATGGGGGCACGGTCCCATTTTCATTACGCTTTTCATAGACGCTAATGCTAAACCACCACGCCACATTTGTCAGGCGACCTTGGAGCAAAGTCTTTGCCGAAGACTTTGCTTTTGTGCGGCACGAAAAACGGCCTCGGTGCCATTTCGTTAAGTCGAGACGACTCACCGGTTCCTGCCCAGATGCAGCCAGCTTTTGCAATGGATTTTATCCTAGGGGTCACATTATTAATAACAAATGTGAACTTTTGAGCGTTCAAAGTGAGTAAACAAAAAATTCCTCGAATGTTAAGGTCCGTTCACATCGGACTCTTCGGCGAAGGCCAGTCTGAACGCGCCCATAGAAAATAATGGAACTAATTCTACGCCGAAGCAACGCCGCAAGCAATTGGAACAAGCCGAACTTGCGTTGCGGATAGCCAATGAGGAGTTGACGGTGTACTTATGGAAAGCCAAAATAGGAACGCCGGTTGGCAGCCAGCACGAGCTCTGAAAATCTGAAACAGCTTGGCCTATGTGATCGACTATAGGTTCGGGTACGTCACTTGAGGTCTCAAAATTGCCCTTCCCGCAAACATCATTATCGTCATTTTAATACCAGGGCTACCACCAGTTTGTGTGATAGGCATAACCCACCTAGTCTCGGTCAAGCCAAGCTGGATACAGAAAAACGTGTTGAGGTTGGCCTACGTTTAAAGGAACGGGAGAAGGCATTACATGGGGAAAGAGTAGCTTATTGTTGTCCTAAGGTTGACCTAAGACCTTAGTTTAAACTTGTACCCAACATTTGGTCGTGCCGACTAAGATAATGGAATAGTTAGGTTGGACGTACACTGTTCTCGGATTGAATTTGTACCTTCCCCAGTAGAGGAGAATGTAGAAAACACAATTTCCAAAAAATCCTGCGTCATCAGATGACAGACATGGCCACCTAAGACCTCTCTCATCAAAAGCTTTCGCTTATACTGCTTCCTGAAGCAGGCAATTGTAGAGGAACAGGAGCAAGAGCGCTCGTCTCTTGTACGCTGCCATCATTCCAGCAGCGAACTGAGATTGGTGCAATCTCATCGTCAGCTCACGTTTACCTTTGGTACTTCGTAAGTGAGCACCGGGTAGTGTGAAGAGAACCCTACGTCGCAGAATGTGAACGGGCCTTAAGGAGCACCCCCGTCAAAACAGGTGAAACGGACAAGAGGTCAACCGAAACCTTATCACCCTTCAATGCCTAATAATGACTGACACGGGGGACGTTTCGCTCATATCAGGACTCTCACGAAAATTGGAAAAGTGCAGCGGAGCAACGCATAAGAGGATTCAGGAAGCGAAGGCGCTTGAGCATCCGCCCGATAGGCTGAACGACATCGGGGGAAGCCGAGCGCGGAAGCGGATAAGGGAGGCGAAATCCAATCTTCAAGGCCTCTCGCGGGAGAATGGAGATCATTTCCCCGAAAGCGAGAAGGAAAATGATTGAATACGTGAAATTGCAATTCCGTGGTTTTCGCAAGAAGCCTACCGTGTAAACCTTTCTCATCATTCTAGCAACGTTCCTCTATAGTAGTTCCTGAAGAGATAGCCTCAGTAGATCGATAGAGATGTCCAGACACGATTGTTAGAGCAATTGCCCGAGTGATTGCTAGGGCAATCTTTCATCGAGAATTCAAAGCTTCCCGAGGATGGGCATATTCAATAAACAAGCCGGATTTCCTCTTCATCGGAGAACCTATAGCTCAAAAGTTTTCTGAAAACTCGGAGATGATGACATAATTCCACGAAGGCGTTCGCACTCAGAAGCATCATCGGCTTATTATGCCTCAAATCGGAAATGCAAAGGTTACAAGACTCTGATTAGATATGCCATTTCGGACCGTTAATGAGAAGGGAGCGTAATAAGTCCCCATCGTATTGATGAGAAGAAAAGGCGCACTGAAAACTCCTTTCATAAAAAGAAAGTCTCTGGGTTCGTTGTCGGCCCTGGTTGGGAATTGTGGGGGTGGATCCCGGGAGGGTGAGCTTGAATCGCCCTTTTGGATAGCAGGGACGTTGGGTGTTGAATGCATTCCGAAAGGAGAATATTCTCGATGCGATGCTGGCTGGGAAACAAAGGGCTCTCACACTATTATGCAAGCTCGGTCAACGTGCATGGAATATGATTAACGGCTGAAACGGTGAGAAAATTTTTTCAAGAGATGCGGAATAACGAATGCACTCGATGGAACAGAAATTCTAGGGGAAAACCCGACCCGGAAAAAGAGCGTGCCGATTAAACAAGGTGGCCCATAAGTAAGTTTACCCGATTAATGAACGGATTGTTAAAACCTTTACGCTTCTGCAAATCTATGAGCCACTTCGGCAGTAAGCAAATATAGTCATCAGTGGGATCTGAGTATCTTCCGAGCTAAACTCCGAGTAAAGGTTCTTGTAGGGACGTTAAGACGTATTCTTGCTCATAATTACGTCCCGTTTCAAGGTCAAGCGTTTATATAAGATTGGGATGCCCCTCTTAAGCATAATTTTTTGTGGGAGCATATCCATCTACTGCCGAGTTACTCGTGACTTCACTACCCCCTTTTTTCCACGAACCGCTTTTTAAAGCTGTTCATGGAAGGAGCGGCCACTAATATTCTCACATAACGCGTTCCACGCATTCTCTTACCGTAATTGGAAAGAAGTCATTCCGTGATCACGAGTCTCACTTGGGGTTTATGCAACTTTAACCGTTTTTTTTTTATCGTTCTGCTGCTACCAACGAATTGGAAATGCTTCCACTCTATCGATTCTCTTCATCTTAAATAATGGATGAGGACCCCTCGTTATTTTTCTCTCGAACGAATGCAGTCCCTACCCTTCTGATATGCAAGCCCTCTATCATTTTCGTAGCTCACGAATTCTCTCTAGTGCTGGCAATACACATTTGCGGAACTCCAAAATTGAACGCTATTCCGAGGTGAGAGAATTGTGTGAATCACCGCCCCCGTTTTCTCTTTCTGTTGTTCTAGGTCAGTGGTTCTGGACTTTTTCTGGGAAAAAGCTCACATTTCATCCTAGCCCACCCACGGACCTTCGTGCACGATCGCAGTGATATAATTAAATATGAGGAAGACCAGGACATCTGAACTCATTCGTGAAAAGTTTTCTCTGAACAATTAGATAGTCGATATCAAGATTAATTCAAACCCTTTTAGTGTTGTTTAATTCACTTCAATGCGATACCTGTGCCTGCCTCTAGTGATAAAGAAAATTAAGATAAAAAACAATATTTTTTAAGCGACTCCACGCAGGTCACTTGTTATTCTTTGGACGTGACCTGAACTTGTTTTATTTATTTATTTATTAGTTATATGTACCGAGAATACGAGAAGGTAGAAATACGTATGCGTTGGCTAAAGTTATCGGGATCTTCTCTATGGCAACAGCATTGATCTTGGCATTTCTCCTTGATACGCACTCAATTATATTGGATTCTAGGAATATCCAATATCCATCAGTTTCGATTAAAAAATGGCTCATTGGGTATTCTTGGAACGCGATTTCATCAAGAGCATAAGCTGAAGTTGCGGCAAAGAAGTGCATGAGAAGAAATTTGCTGCCCACTCCTAACAGCGCTCCTCGATTACACCAGTAAATGAGCATTGTATTATCATCGAATTAGCCTTGTATTATCCTTGTCTTCTTGCCCTCCTTTGGCGACAGGCCAATACAAAAAGCTCCCAACACCAAAAGCACCCCACGGTGTAGTGCCAAGCAAGTTGAGAATTGCTTTTCTGGGTGTTCCGACTGACTGCAGCCATTGTTTCTGTCTTAATAAAAGACCACTAAGATATCAGAGCATACAAATGTCTGGGAAAAAGCTTTCAAGTACAAGATGCACCCTCAACCTCTGGAAAAAAAATTGTAAAAAAAAAATACCTACAGAAAAAGCTCTTACACAAGTGAAAATACTCAGGTACTCTCATATTGAGTCTCAGTAGGTGCAGTGTGTGCTAGCCTTTCAAAAGGTGAAAATGTGAGAAGATGCAAAGGTGAGAAAGCATACCTGTGATTTGATAACATCAAATCAGCACAATCCACAATTTCATTAATTCAAAAAACAAAAAACTTGATCAAATGATTGAAAATAAAAACAGGATCAGTTTCAGCAAGTTTTTTGAATATCACAGACCATAGGTTAATCTCTGCCAGGTTCTTCCTTCACAGCATTCTTCTCCTTTTCCTTCTTCATCTCAAGATTGGCATAGAGTTTGGCAATGCTCCCTTTCGAGGCAAGCTGGCCGGCAAAGTCTCGCCTCCGTCGCTTGAATTCCCCTTCCAGCCGTCCGTTCCAGAGGTCAAAGAGAGAGGCAGACTGGGATGAAGAGATTCGTCTTCCCGATAGGTTCTCGACCCCACTGTGACTTCTCTTTGCACCTCCACTACCTCCATTCTCTGTCTTCACAGTCTCGGATTTTGTTGACCTATAACCCATGGGAAATGCAGATCCACAGCTCATTGCATGAGTCACAACCCAAGTCAACTTCATAATTCATTAAATATTGGACAAGGATAATATGAACAGCATCACTATGAAATTGCATTCAAATATTCCTGCTATGAATAGTGCACTAACTCATTAGTTCTGGGTATCACATAGATGTGCCAAATCCAATGGGTTTTACCTTTTGTGAGTCTGCAAAAGTTATTAATAATATTTTTGCATTTTATGAAGCAACTCTGATTTCAATTAGAGAGTATGTTCACACTATCCAAACTTTGATATCCTGCTCAGGCATGCTTAGCAAAAAACTAAAAGAGAAGAGAAAAATAATTATTCTGTTGTTGATAAGGCACACATCCCCCATGTGTGCCCTATCAACTTACTTTTGGAGTGCAGATAAAATGCATATTGGAGACAACCCAATGCAAATTTAATATGCACTCCAATCCAATCTGCAGCTCATCTGACTGGATGAGAGCTAAAGATCTGCTTGCACAATCATTTATAAAGGCTTGATAAATGGTGCAACTTTACTTCATTAAAATATACTGATTATGCCATGCAGCCCTGATGAATTGACAGTTGAAATCAACAACCAGCCTGAGCTTACTTTGGGGAATCTTTAAAACCGGAAGAATCAGATTCAGACATGAGGACATCTGCTTGAGGTTTCTCTCTGTCATCTTTGCTCTTGAGATCCAACAGACATGAAAGTACACTTTCATGACTTGGGGAATATTGATGAGCTTTCACCAACACTTCCAGCTCCTTCCACATTGCCTTGTAATGTTCCTCCCTTCAAATAAGAGCACAATTTCTGTTGTGAGAAAGGCGAAGACAAAATAAAAATTGACTAGCGGCCTGCGGCCGCTACGCTGGTCGTCTAATAGGCGGACATTTTAAAATGATTACATAAAGATATAAAGCAGTTCGGTTCAAACCAAGCATTAAAAATTTTCGAACAAACCTTGATACCAAAGTTTTTATGGCCTAGAATGGCATAGCCTCGTAGGCCTTGCGTATTAGGCCGCGGGTGAGTGACAACCATTCACCACCGCTTTCGACCTCTTTCAATTAAAGTATTAGATGGTGTGAAATAGCTCACCTCTTCCCAGAAGACTTGCCTCGAGGTCCAGATGGCAGGATCTGAAGCAGTTCTCCCTTAGACTCCAGTCGAAGGAGATCGTACAACACATTCTTGCACTCCATCACATCCAATTCGTTCAGCTCTTCCAGTACTATGAGTCGGAGCAGCTTCTCCACGTGCTGCAAGATAAAGCTGTCAGTCTTAGCAGCTCCTACTGACATCCTGCAAAAGCATAAGGAAAAGTTTTCACAGGGCCCAGATGATAGAGATAGGTGCCAGAGATGGTGATGGGCCAGTATTTGGTATGCCTCTGGAGAGTCAAACAGGCATGCTCTAAGGGAGTAGTCTCGTCTTCATCCGGATACGGCAACGAAGTACCGGGCAGATGAGGACTGAGCAGATTCCTCTTCATCAAGTTCCCAAATTCCTAAAATAAAATTGTCGAGAGTCGTGTATGTGAAGGGGAAACCTGGATGGAGATGACATCATCTTGTCGGATAAAAGGCTTACGGCGATGCGGTAATCCGTGACGCGTCCGCCCACACCTTCACTTATGGATGGGGGATCGTCTAGAATGCTCTTGGATGTGGCCAACGTGTGAATGAAGATCTCACCCCCATGTGACGTCAACATGTGCGAATTCACCTTCCCACCCCCCTTCTTGGACATCTCCAACAAAACTGAGCGTCCATTGAGGAGGAAATTCGTAAGGCAGGTCGAGGGCCGACTGGAACGATGAAAATACGCAGGGAATCATGAGCTGAAACTTTACTCATTAGGCATATTTTAATTGAGATCCCTGCACTCCATCCAGACCTATTGACATCGACAGTTGTGACTCGATGTGCGGCAAGGCAGAGATGGAATTCGTTTGACGAGGACGGCCGCGGAGCACTCCATTTCAACGTCACCGTCTCATATGAAGACCCTTCCTTCAAGGCCCGGAAATGGGATCCTTCCTCTATAATACGGGAGCATTGAAGAACTTCAATGACAGTTCCTTTCAACGTCCAAACCAGGGATGTCACACAGCGTGTGCCGATGACATTCGATTCCCCCTACTTTCTCACGTATGGTACAGACTCGAAGGAACGCGTGTAGAGCCGGTATACCAACGTTGAGGTTAAGGACTAACGTTACACCATGACTACCGATCACTGTTGACAACGCCTTCGATTAGGCTTAGTAAGGCGTGTTCATTTCAATGAGCTCACTTTCTCCGAGGGTGGCATCGAACGTAGGTTTCGCTTCATTTCCTAAATGGGAAGAGTAGGATAATTGATTCTAAATATATTATATAGGAACATAATATATTTGTGTTACTGTTACTGTCGGACTGTTACTGTCGGTGGCATACGATGACGGCTCGTGGATAAAAAAAAAAATCTGGGGAGGCCAGCACATAATCTTCACTATCAACAAAAACTCATAGTTCTATTGATACCCGAGTGAAAAAACATAAGCTATATTTAGGTCAAATTTGTCGTTTAATGAGCTCTTGAAGTGGCAGGTGGAAAATGAAGGCTGATCGAGAAACCGCTCCATATCGGCACTCCAAATAGTGCATCGAAATCGCGTGAGGAGCAGAGGAAATTGACGCTTCCGTTGGACGTTTGAGGGAGAGTAGAGGCGCACCCAGGCCGACGAGGGAGATATCAGTTTCACGACTTTCTCGCATTGAAAATATCAGAACTTAACGAAAGCAGAATTGCATCTGACTCACTAAGCTAGTCTAGTGATTATATTTAATATATTTCGTGACTTTTCCGTAATTGGCAACTTCGTCGATACGAGCAGTCGATACGAATTCGAATAACCGAGCAGCTCTCCATTCGGGTGAAGGACCCTAGAGACCAGCGCAAAGGCAAACGGTGACGACGGCCTTCCTATCGACGCATAGGGTATGCTACGGCACCTAAGTGCAGTCTACGAACCAGGGGAGGGCTCTCCTTAGCGAGTCTGGGCAAAAATCAGCTGGCAGATACCGGCTTTCGCTCTTTTTTTTTATCGATCGAGAAGGAATCCAATTGTTCTAAGAGATTTCCGATAGAAATTTCAGATCCACAATGGAGGCTTCAAAATTGTTATGGTTTGTGCAACAAAGAATTTTCGGGGAGGCCTGGACTCGCTTGCCTCCCCTGACGAGCCGCCGCTAGCGGCATCCTTGGTTCTATCTGGCTTCGCAACCATCCGTCGACCAAAGGAAAGCTTAAAAATTAAAATGTGCATGTGCGCACTCGCGATGATAGAACTCCATCGAACCTGGGAAACTAACGAGAAAAGTTAGAAAAAAGGCGCAGGGATGAGAGATGTTACGTCATCGCAAGAAAAGACAGAAAAGAAACAAGAAATTTTAATTTTAAATCATACATATATATTTGATACTTATGTGAATATTCATATTTATATTGCAACACTGTCAGTCTCGAGGCCAGGCCCCTACTTGCATTGCACGCGCAACACGGAATCGACTCCAGACCGTGCAGAATTTTCCACAAGGCTCAGCATTTTCGGCTCGAAATTTTCGTCCACGGAAAGAACATTTTGAAGAAATTCAAAGAACATTCTTTCACGAAGCAAAGAACCAGCACATGCCTCAAGAGTGCAAGTCATTCGCACCATTCGTATTATTCCAGATCTCACCGCAGTTGCAAATGAGTCAAATCTCATTCACCCTGACTTCCGGGACCAGCAATTCAGTTCCGATGATCAATCCATCTAGACCAGGAGTGCACAACATATGGACCTTGCTTGGGGCCCGCCGTGACTGGTGGCGTTGTAAGTGCTACTATGGCTCCTGCCTTGTTAGTTTTGGTCAGCCAGACTGCGTATGTGAGTAAAAGTCGCAAGTGGCCCTCACAGCCTTCTGAGTAGTGCACCCCTGATCTAGATAGTTGAAACCTGACCAAGTGACCAGTCACTATTCATCTCTTCTCTAAAAAAAAAAGAGCAATTGATTCACTTTATTCCCTTATTTTGAATGCATGGATATCCCCTCGACAGCATATGAAGAAGTAATCCCAACTGCCCAATTTTTTCTGCCGTCTCGTGGGAAAAAGTGCAATGCACGAGTTTTGCTCGTGCAAAGGATTTTCGCATTTCTCCCCCAGAATCACAAGACAGCATCATCCTGGGGTATTTGTAACTTCCTAGTAATTTGCGTATTGGAGCTATCATAGTGAGACTAAAAAAATTCACAAGGCAAAATGCCGAGGAAGGATGTGACTAAGGGGAAAAGGAAGACGGGTATACAACGAGAGGGACTGATGAAAGGAGCAAGGGCATTGTGCCTAACATGTAAGGGGCTTTTTTTTTTCTCGCCACTCCTGATTCCAGGAATGGGGAAGAAATGAAAGGAGATTGATTTTCTTTTGTTCCTGGGGAATGGAGGGAGAGTCAAGAGGAGGAAAAAACACAGGAAACTCCTTTTCGTGTCCATAGGAACACTTCTTTCCGAGAAATTTTTTTCCTTCTGCAGTCTCCCTCCGTCATTATTCCAAGGAATTCCACATTACATGCATGAAAATGGCACAGAGCACAAGAGAAATCTTCAACATTAATATGAACTATAGAAGGTCCTTGGAAGAAATGGAGAATTCTTACACATGTTTCATGGGTTTATAAACTTATATCGTCGCTACTATGCCAGTCATCAAATCATCATTTCCTTTGTTGTGCAGGAGAGCTAGAGGAAGCTTACAGAAGGGAATAATAATTCAGGATGACATCGCAGGTTTTATTTCTATGAGATCTTGCAAGTGCAATAAAAGATGACAGCAGAATGATAATTCTGGCATAGAAAGATAGCAGCCTGGCAAGTTTAGAGGTGTGCTCAATACAAAAATTGAACATTTTCACTTTGGTGTCTGGCATTTTAGCGACGATATGTCTAATTTTATATAGGCTCTGAAGAGGCTTTTGTTCATAATTAGCCAGATGGTTGGATTACTGGCATTTGGAACATTATTTGACTGTATTGATGAGGCACGGGCGGGAATCATGGTCAAATTTACAGTGACATTTGTAGTCTTGACTACTCATTTTGAAATGGCCATTGAAAAACCTTAATTCATGTTCCCAATCTCCTTGCCATTAGAAAACAATTTCCAGAAGCAGTTCATATCACTTAATATGCCCAGTTCATTAAATCGTTCATTATATCATTAAAAGCAAATTCATGGTTGTTTTTGACCTTCTCTACTCTCCCTGAGTAGGGCAGGTCCAAAGAGGCAACTGAGTCATGTACTTAGAGCAGTAAAGAGTATATTAAAGTTTGTGGGAACAGAAGAGACAAAAATAACCACCTTCTGCAATCATGTGTACAAAAAAAAGAAACTGCCTTGAAGCATACTATCACAGAGTCATATTATAGGTTCATCATGATAGGAATTAATTTTTGAACTGACCAGTGAGAAGAGCTGCATGAGATGCAGCAGGATGGAAGAGTTCGACATCATAGTTTGCAGATGAGGAAGCATTCTGCTCCTCTTTCATTGGAATGCCAGTGACAGTAGTAGAAGCAAGCTGGTAGTGGGAAAGGAGCACTGATGTGAGGTAAGATGCAAGGGGGGCTCCTCCAGCCACACTCACCACTTCCATTGAGCATAGAGCTGACAACTGCAGAGATCAATTAATTCATGCATGTCTTAGATTAGATTAACTTCACAACTTATTTGCTAAAGCTTCAGGTTTTATCAAACAATACCAATGGAGTAAAAGAATTAAGAAAAAATTTTTGAAGTATGTGAGGAGTTACTCTAAAAACCTCTGCTTATAACAAAACCACCATCAAAGTCCAGTTTCCAATTGATCTTAATTGTAACCTTGCACCTGAATACTTCAATGAAGATCAAGTAAAATGCATGCATAAACCTTACAAAGCTGTGAAGTAGCATCTCAAAAAAGCTGCAAGGACCTATAATTTGACACATGAAGAAATCAAGTCCAAACATTTTAGGTCAAGCTGTCTGAGACGATGACAGCTGCATTCAGTGCAAGCATTTCATGTTCACCCCAAGGCACAATCAGATCAAATACCGGAGTTCAGCAAGGCCATATATGATAGTAGCTACCAAGCAGTCATATCAAACTTTAGGTGAGCTGAAGAAGCACCATTGTCTTCCTGCTGATGCATTGTGCATCAAACCCCTTACCCTTGCATGCATGCAGGAGTAAAGAGAAAGTTGGCATACATGAAATACATTAGCAATTTTTCATTTGCATCTGTCCTCAACCAGAATGAAGATCCCATTCAAAACCTAATTCCTTGCAAACTTCATTCAATGGAATGGTCTGGTTATCATGACTCTCATCCATAGTAAGTAATGAAAGGACACATATTTCTTCACCAAACATGCATAGTAATAATTGGAAGAGGCCAAAAAATGGGATCAGAGTTTTCTGCATGTTCTGACAAGAAATCCATTTAAAAGTTTAATAATAGAAATCAATCATTTCCATATAAAATGGTTTCTGAGACAAAAATATATTTATGTTTGGACCATTTATTAGAAATTGTTGTTGAACTGGAAGCAAAACAATGAAAGCAGAACCATAAACCTAGTTTTACTCATGTATCATCAGTCATAGAAAAATTTGATATGGTGTGTATATTTCAATGTGTATGTTAGCAATGTTCAAAACGCTGGGATCAGCCTTCCTGATCACACAACAGGATCAACTCCACTCTTTTTCTTTTGACAGGGTCATTTCAATTCAATAACTCACCAGTACATAAAAAAGAAACATTGCCAATATTTATCTATGATGCAGGACTTTATGGACACCCTGTATATTGTAGGCTGATAGGGTGAGTGTGGACAGAAAAGGGTGGAGAGGAGAGTCAGGGACACCTGGAAACCATGCCCAGACTATGAGGGCTAGTACCTCACCATTGCATTTCTAGTTCCAGGTCATTTTTTGCCATGTGCATTGTAGCACTACATACTGATGAGGATAAATGAGCATCCCCACTATTTTATACTTCTATGAAAGGTGAGAAGTTTTTTCACCCAAATAAAGTCAACATGCCTCCAATTACTGACAGGATCATGAGTAATGCAAAGTCCTTTTCTTTAAGTTGGACCATACTATCACTCATTGGTGCAATTTTTAGCGTCTGAATTAAAATAATGGAGAATCTCAGACTCACATGTTTTTTGGGCTGTGACTGCACAACTGGTGTATCACCCCTTGGATGAACATTGATAAGAAGCAGCTCACAGTGGTGGATTGGCAATAGGCTGCAAGATATACAAAGCCCAAGAGCTGAAAATAATGCATATGATGACATAAACATACTGATCATCAACTGGTTCTCACACGTCAGATCCAGCAGCAATTTTGTTCTGATGCATGAGTGCATCATGGAACTGGGATTCCAGGGTCTCAATCTCACTCTTCTCCTTCAAGATGGTCAAACAGATGATTCTCCCCCTGTTCAAGACCTAAAAGAAAACTCAGACTTTAAAATACTAATTAAAAATACCCAGGGAAAGAGATAATATAAATATGTGGATGTTTAGAAGTGTTCATTATATTATATCAGTCTTGTAAGAATCCTTCCACCATCATCTTCAATGCAATACAAACCACAACTCAACTTTCAAATTCACATCAGTATTTAGGAAATTTCATCATTCATTGTCAACCAAACTTCAACCATGCTAACCTTGAATTACCTACACATGGATGGCAATGGAGTCTTTATTCTATTATTGAATTAAACCATTTGAGTGACTCCTGAATTACTTTCTGCACCACAGACACAACTTTCACCTTAAAAACAAAAAGTAAACACAAAATTCTAAGAAGCAGGATCAAAATGACTGATGTTACCTTGGAACCTCGATCGAGCAGATGGAGACGCCTCTGGTGCTGAGCAGCAGAACACTCACATAAAGACTCTATGGCTGCCTTCAAGCCATGCATTATAGAAGCTTCTCTTGAATGCTGGGCACTGCCATTACTCAGCATTGAAAGACTGTTCATCAGCTACAAGAGGAAATAATACATAAGAACATAATAGGCCTTACCATCATTCCTGATAAATTATTGTCAAGAAAGAAGGTATTTGACTCACAAAAGAAACACTCTGCTCCTTGGTGTCCCAGGAATTGATATTGTGAGAAGCATTGTCACTGGCTATCAGGCGGATCTGAAATAAAATGTTGTAAAGGCCCATAGCAGGGTTTCTCAGGCTCATACTTCTGAAGTCCAGGACTCAGGAGTCCCACTGCTCTTCTTTCTTTTAATATATATACAAGGGGTGTTCAAAAAGTCCTAAGACTGGTTCTGTATCTCAGGTATTTTTTTTTAGGCATAAATGCCAATTTTGGTAAGTGAATTGTGTCTTGGGAGTGCATAAGGGAAATTTCATAATTAATGGTCCTCATTCTTTTTTTTTAAAAGGATTTCTTTTTCATGGACACTTTGACGTACCCAGTGAAAATGAGCAAGGAATCTGATAAAGTGAATTGTAAATTTAGAGGACCATGACATTTTTTGTGAAATGAGGGAAATAATCACAGAAAGTGGTGTATGCTGCATTTGGAGCAAATGCTCCAGGCAGCTGGACAATATCCAATAGGCAAACATTTTTTCAATATTTTTTCCCCCAATGAAAGATGAGGAACAGTCAAATGAAGAAAGACATATAACTTATAAATTCATGATTCACTTATCAAAATGGATTTGTAATGTTAAGCATACACTTGTGCTGGACTTTGTCATCTATATTACCTGTCTAAGCATGCTTCAAAAATGACATATGACAGATTACTGAGATTTCCTTCTTGAACTTTTCCATTCTAGTCAGATAAAAAATAATATAAAAGAAACTAAATGAATTGAAAGAAGTTATTAAAAAAAGTACTAGTTGTAAAAACAACTTCATCTCCAGTCAAACTACAACTACATCTTTAAAAACATCAATGTGCCCATTGCTACTCATCTAAAGTGATTTGGAAGCCATAATGACTTCAAGCAAAAAACAAATTTGCAAAGGACAAGGACCTCATGATGTAGGGAAAAAATGAACTCATACGTCGAAGATAATACAGAATCACACATTTGGCTTCAATCTAGCTCTAAAAATGGATTAAGTTAATTAGGCTCCATTGAATTGATTTTAGTCCAACCTTGCAGCTATTATTAGATTAGGCAGAAACAGATTTCTGGATATGGAACTTATTTCTCACCAATTTTGAGGCAGGGTAGATGTCCCAGATGATACGTACATACTCCAGGATGCCCTCAAGGGAAGATGTCCATAGGGACTTGGAGATGGGGGCCAAGGGAGGAATAAACTGAGGTCCTCGATTCTTTGTCAAGGACTCTAACTCTATCAGATCTCCACATGATCGGAAGAATCGCCATGAATGATCCACAACAAAGACGGTCTTGTGGCTGGCTGGGAATGCCATTCTCAACCCAGCTTGCTTGTGGGAAGAAGTTACAAAAGTCAGTCGCTCTAGCACATCTTTATGGTACAGTTAAAAACCCGTTTCTTTTGCTAGATGATTTTCAGGATTGATGCCTCTTCCTGAGGCTGCAGAGCTAGCTGTGAGCCAACTTGCATCCACTTATGACAGCTTTGATAAGCATCTTTGTATTCCCTCCTGATGCTGCAGAGCAAGCTCACTGCAAACTTTCTGTCCTAGTGTACTCATTCTAGAATAGCTTTTTCAAGAACTTTCAATGTTTCCAAGCTATAAAAACAAGTTTAAATAGAATCTTAAAAAATTATCAGACATGAGATTAAAAAAATGAATTGGTTGCACAAAAACCATGAAAGAGAAAAAATATCTTTAATGCAAGCTGCACCGATCTTGTCATTTGGAACTACCAAGGGATTACCAATACCATAGCTGCAATTCAAGAGGACAGAAGCCAGTGTCCATTTTTTTCTACCTATTAATTATCTTCTTAATTTTATTTACATAAGCCATACACCCTTTTCTCTTATCTTCCAGAATTCCTAGTCTGAATAGTAGCTCTATGCTTCATGGGGAGTGGAAGCCCTGAAAATGGCTCTCAATCAAGATGATATTAAAACCTTTCTTGAAAGAGCATTAATGCAAGATATAAAAAAAAAGAAGAGACATGGGATGTTGCTGAAAGAGGTAAGAAGTGCATTCAGATGGCTAGCTCCTCTGCATATTCCAAGGCATCACTCATCCATCTCCTCATGGACCTTTTTGGCTTTCTCTGCTGCCTGTCGCAGTGCATCCGACATTCCTCCTCCTCCACCATTCTAAAGCACATATAAATCCTCACTTTTTGTATATAGTGACTGAATATTAATCAGTTTCATTTCTAAATAGAAGAAAAATGGCCCAACAAGATGAGAGCAAACCTTTAACATGAAGTAGAGTGTAAGGAAGAGACCAATGACAAGGATGAATTTCACCAATAGTCTCTTGTCCAGCCATGCAGGAATCCCAGGTTCATTCCCATGGGACAGTTCCTTCCCCAATGATCCTGGTACCCTTTCCTGAGGCCTGGTACCTCGTCGAATCACATCTCCATACCTTCAAATGATGACATATCCCAAACAGTGTTAAAAAACAAGGTATAAAAACAAACAACACAATTACTGTTCATTTTCTCAAGCCTCACTGCAAATGTCATGCCAAGATGGTGAAAATGGACAGATAACAGTAGTAACAGACCTAGGATGTTCCCAGATCAGACTATTCTACCCATAGACTTTACATCAACACTGTCTTCATCAGCTATTGTCTGATGATGAAGTCAATGCCACCTTCTCTCAGGAGAAGGTGACAGGATAAATGATATGACCTTCTCAGGATAAAATGTGTTGCAAGGTTAGAGCAAATAAACTGCATAGTGGCTCACTCTTGGTTAAAAGGATGAGGTGAGGACTGAGAAGAGAAGGGAGTAGATCGTGGCACACGTATTGCAGGCCGAGGAGTGACACTTCTAAATACACTTGACTCTCCTGCAGAGGTGAAACTCCCTGTTTCAAGGATGAAAACCAGAAAAAAATTACTCATATCAATACACACACCCATCTTGTTTAGGTCTGGCAGACCAATCATTTTGTATACTTGAACAGTCTATCATAAGAGTAGAGTTGAACAACTGAAAAGTGGCACACATAAATAAAATGTACTTCTGGTCATATTGACCACATGGATCAAAAGAAAGGACTATGAAGCTACACCTTCATAATTGTAGCACAAGGTGCTTTTTCAGCTGAGTTTCAAGCTTTGAAGTATACTTTGACAATAGTTTTCAGCTTAGTCACAAAACAACATTTGGAAAGCTCAACGACAGGTATTGAAACCATCAGTATCAAACATAAAGTATATGGCTTTTTAAAATTAAGTGCCAGACGTGAATAGAAAAAAAAGCAAGAGGAGTGACAACTTTCATGTGAAACTTTCTTTCTTTCTACATCCAACAATATCTCAACTGGAGCCTGCTTTACAAATCTCATCCTATATCCCTAGTTTCCCTCCTAGTCATAATTTACTCTGATGGCAACATCTACAATATTGAAAGCAAAACAGCCTTGGAAAACCCCATTAGCTCTGAATAGTCTGAAATTACAAGTGTGGAGTTAAAAGTTACTTGCCATCACTTATTGAGGAAGAAGGAAGCTGGAAAGGGGACCGGAGACTGGCTGAGGCACGGGAGGGAACATTTCTTGGCATGTCTTCTATGGTAGGCCCAGACCTACCCAAGTCAGATTCTTTGAAGGACACACGTTGAGGCTGATACTCAGAGAAACTTCTTTCATCTTCATGGGGTTCATTGGGAATAGTGTCCTCTTCGTGAGGAAGTGGAGCCCTGGAGCTTCCATTGGGGATGGAGTAGAGTGACTCCTCCTGACTGACATTGGGAGGCTCTAAGACAGGAGTATCCCCTACTGAGTCATGTTCAGTTATGGCACCAAACAGTTGCTTTGACAGTATCTTCTCATACAGGGATCTGGTGTTTGCTGGAATAGAGAGTGAGAATATCATAAGTGGAAATCTAAAGCAGTCTAAAAGCCATGGTGAGAGTAAATATATACAGGGTATGGCAAAAAAAAGACCCATGACTTTCAACCTAAATATCTTCCCTCCCCATGGAGTTATTCTCACTAAACTTTCACATTGCATATATGAGTATGTTTCCGAGTAATACTTTAAATTTTGCCAAAATTTGTTGTGCCAAAGCAATTCTATCAGCAATTATAGAAAAGAAGTTAGACATTGAGAATGGACAAGAGCTCCTGCTGGTAATGCCAACCCTCCTGCTTTGCTACCTCCTAGGGATGGGGCTCAAGTGTGTCCTCCACTTCACTACCAGCAGAAACTCTTGTCCATTCTCAATGTCTAACTTCTTTTCAATAATTGCTGATAGAATTGCTCGGGGACATCAAATTTGGGTGAAAACTGAGGTATCAGTAGGAAACACTCATACATGCAATATGAAAGTTTTGTGAAAAAAACTCTTAGGGAGGAAAGATATTTAGGTTGAAAGTTCTTGGTCTTTTTTTGCTATACCCTGAAGATTTGAAGTCTTTAGACCTAGGGTGAATTAGGATTGAATCATGTAAACATCATCAAATTAAACCTAGCTTAATCAAATAATCTAGGATCACTCAACAACGGGCCTATAGTGCAATGCATAATGAAGAATGAAGCCCTTAGGCCTGATAACATTGAGAAACCCTGGGATAATCTAAAACATATAGTCCCTGTAGACACCTGACTATTCATTTAGCACAAATTATTTTTGGCATACAAGCCTACTTCATGCTGAAACTCCAGCACTGGTACACCCATATGAGGGTTTACCAGGCTAAAAGAACACCTATTTTTCCATTTTACACATGAATTCACTACCAGCAACACAATTCAGTGAGTTTGGTATGAGATTGAACATCTATACTTTCAATTATTCTGGAGTGGTGTCCTTAGCACCATTTCGCAAGATTTTACTAATAAATCATTTATTTTTCCTTACCAAGGATTTCATTTATTCCTTCTAATGAAATCAAATTGAGGGACTCGGAACCAGCCCATTTTACAATTTACAGGCTGACAGTTCGGAAACATCAAGTCTCCCTTCCACAGCAGGTACCAGTTTTTCATTTCTCAATATCTCATGTCTTTTACTGCAAAGTGATTGATAATCAAAGTCAGTAGGTCAGGGAGACTGGAAGGCCATTTTGAGAACATGCTAAGAAACATCTATTATGCCATATACCCATGGGCATTCTCTTCAGCTCCAAGGACCACAAAATTAAATACTTTGCTTTCTTGCCTACAGAAGAATTGAAGTTTCAGGCCCATATCACATTTTATTATAATAAATGACCTTGAAAAGTTGAATATCACACCATTATGGCTCCTATTTTCTCCACTTTCCAATGCTAATGTTAGGCTTAGTTTCAATGTCATTCGGAGACATTGCCATGCCTCATTTATAGATCTAGTTGCACAGCACTACGTCATGCAGGCCAAAGAGACTAAAAACTCAGCTCAACAAGTAATTACTATTTGAAAAAAAAAGAAGTGAATACTTCATAAAGCATATATTGAATTGTGACAAAGTGAAACAAGGAGATAAAGATGGATGTCCCTTCCTTCCATCCTGACCAAGATACTGTTCATTCCCAGTCACAGTGTGCCAACATGATGAGAAAATAAATATGTATCCTTCCATTCCCACTGGCCAGACACAGCTGGATGGCAAACTTATATTCAATATGGATAGATTAAATGTACCCAAAATATTAAATGAAACCTTTAATGCATGTTGATTACAGCCAATGCATCCTATGTTTTCCATACCACTGAATTCTTTTCTTATCCTCTATGCAGAGAAAGGTCCCAAAAAAGGACATGCAAGCTAGGCCTGATAAGTGGTGATGAAAATATGATTATAAAGTAGTGTCTCATTTTTCTTGTTTGAGTCTAATAAATGAGCAGAGTCTGTAAGTGATTACTGAAAATGCCTCATTGTACAAGTTTTGTGGAAGAGAGACCAGAAGTACATACTTCAATTTAATATATGGATGTGGTCAGAAACACCATTTCCTTTTGTTCAAAAAATATAGGAGAGTTCAATGCTGCCATATTCACAAGCTCATGGGTCCCTGTCTCCTTACATGGGAGACATGGGTATTGACATGGAAACTTGACAATAGCCAATAATGTAGATTCTAATGAGTGCCAACAAATTGGTACATCCATAATATAAACCCCTTGTAGAATACACAGGCACGAACAGCATCTTTCAGACATATAAATAAAAGGAACTGGAAGAAACAGAATTTTCGCAATTTTTGAGCCACATTGTGACGAATGACAAGGAAGGATCATCTGCCAAGGATCATTGAAAAGAAGAGATGCCTAGGCCTCAGTTCATCAACTAAAATAATCAACAAAAAGCAACACCATTACAATCAATCTTTCATGCTCAAAGCTGTGCCCTTCCAAGCTTTCCTTTAACAAAATTCAATGTTTGAATGAAAGTTGAATTGGATTTTCATTATTGAAAACTTCCCGTTTGTCCACTTTGCCTGAACCAGTAAAACTGAGACATTAGGCACCCCTAAGCCAAGCTAATTAAATATAGAAATACCCACACGAAACATCTTAACCTGCGCCAACTTACGGACGACGGGTCCTGCTGAGATTCCAGCATCAATAAGGGCTTGATAAAGATCGTCATCCGACAAGGCTCCGATCTCGCTCGAATCCTGAATCATCTTGAGGAATTTCTTCCTTTCAGCCCAGCGACCTTTAAGTTTGACCGCAAGTCCCACCAAACGCGTCTGCTTCCAGTCTCACAGACAAACTCAGTCTCAACTCGCTGAATCGCTCTGCACCGAACGAAGGGAGGACACGCTCGAATGTGGTCACACGTGCCGGTGACGATCACAGCGGGCTGCCATGCTGCGCTGCCTCGCCTGTCCGCACAGACGGCGCGAATTTTCGTCTTGGAAGTGCTGGAAATGCCTTCGTTTAGTCGATGTGGAATCCTAAAGCTAAAAAACAGGTGTCGTGCCCATGGCACGTGGCACGTAACCCCCCCCCCTCCAGAATGGCCTAGGTGCAGAAAAGTATGACACTTCAAAAACCGAGAAACAAAATGCTGTTTTACAAAAGTAATAACAAAACGACTTTCTTATCTGTTTAGAGCTCTAACTGTATCCCCCCAGTATCGCGTAAGTTTAAAGGGTATGGAATGATTCCATCCGTGTTATTTCAGAGGTATTAGAACCTTGCCCCCCCCCCCCCCCCCCTCCCCTCCCCAATATTTTCAAGAAGTCGGCTCCTATGTTTAAAGATATCTGCATGAGGTGCATCATTTCGATCGTAACGGGTCTAATAGAACTCTATTTGAGTCTAGTGTATCGTTACGCGCTTGGTATGCACCATAGAAGTTGAATCTGGACTGATTGCATGCAATGCAGCTTTTTTCCAACTTATAGTGGACAACTGATAAATTGGGGGGGGAGGGGGGGGGGGGGGGGGGGAGGTCACGTGCTCCTCCCCTTTCTGGGGATGAAATGATCGTGGACGAAACAGCACTTTCGGCCTTCCGTCGCAGGCAAAGATAGTCGCACGGTTGAAAGGGATGAAAGCAAGGTGAACAAAGGGAAGAAAGGAAGGTGAAAAAAGGGGAGAAAGGAAGGTGGAAAGGGATGAAAGCAAGGTGAAAAAAGGGAAGAAAGGAATAGGGCCCCTGTGTGCCAAGTGGAAATGAGCCGGGGAAGCGAAACAGAGGCAAAGGGCTCCGGGGCATTCTCGACGTCATTGCCGCTTCGAGTTCGTTTGCTACGCCATTAACGCGACTCTATCTACGATAGAGTCGCGTTAATGGCATTGCAGTACCTCAAGATATCAAAGAAGAGCTTCGCTATGAAGGGTATCCTTTTTTTTTCCTGTAGAGACGTTTCGATAAGATAGTATGGCGATTTGAGCTGCGAAGCCGTAAGGGTAGGATGCACACAAGAAACACGGAGCGAGTCAAGTCACCCACTGACTAAGTCACCCACTGACTAAGTCACCCAATGACGACAATCATGCACCCAGTTCCGATCGCTTCCCAAGTGTCAAAGGCGGTTGGAGAGTTGAAAGGCGCCACTCATACTTCTCAGAAACCCAGGCGTAGACTTGTGGAAGCTGCATCTGATCCCAGCTCTTGTTATGTTTTCGTAACAAGGTGAATGCGACAATCGGTTTTGGTGACGAAATAGTGTACTGAGATGTTTATGAGTTTAATTAATTTTATTTTCGAGTATTCGGTGCTTCTGTGGCCCGCGAAGGCTTTAGTGTTTTGTCATGAGGCCCGCATGTTAAAAAGTTTGCCCACCCCTGCCCTAGACGAAAAATGAAAAGGGTGAAAGGACGGAGGTGGTGGTAGGCAGGGGAGGTACGAACTTGGGAACCGCCCCTCCCTCCCCCCCCTCCCCCATGAAGCATTCCTGGATCCGCCACTGGTAGGGACGCCTACTTTCATCATACTGCCTCGATACCGCATAATTCGATCAACTGCAAACAGATGGCTGGTGACCAAGTCATTCCATCCTCGTTGGGTCAGCCTTCCACCGCCGACCCCTGCTTCAGACGAGACGCGGGTGAATGCCGGGGATGTTCGGTGGGCCCTCAACTAGCAATGCCGCTTTGCCGCACCCGCCACGATCCCGCTCGTACCGAAATTTCCATGTTTCAATGTAAACCACAGAAGGAAAATCGCTCTTGGAGTGAGAAAGGAGAAAAGTCCCCTGCCATCATCATGGCAGGAGAGTATAGTATTTCCCAATTGATCTTATTGACATCAATTTGGTTGTTTTATCTGTATTTCATGAAGTCATGACTTTTCTTCTTATTTCGCTTTTATTCTTCACTGCTCATTGCTAGCATTTCCTGCTTTAGGTTCTTTTTTTATCGTGAATCTGATCTAAAATTGGAACTAACTGATTAAACAAAAACAAAAAGAGAACAAATTGTATCATCGACATGGGTCCAGATGATTATTGAAAGCATGAAGCATATTCAATAAGAAGCTCTATGAATATGAGGACATCCTAGAAGGAGAATGTACATGGTGTCACATTGCTCTCATATGCTGTCACATTGCTCTCATATGCTGTCACATTGCCCTCATATGCCGGTACATGCCGCATGTGTCTTCATATGCTCTTAATTTTGTCCTGTGCCATGTGAATGCTTCATTGGAATGAAGTTGAGAATCAATAGTCGGAGTTATATTTAATTTTGATTTCTGACTTAAAAAAATACACGTGCCCTAGATGTGACAAAAACAAAGGATATTCGCTGGACTATGAGGGCAAGTAAAGTCCCTCATGGATGTCAACTTCACCATGGGCTCTGTCACGTTTCGATATTGACTAAATAGTAATCATTGGAATTGTTGTTCTAGAGCAAATAAATTATGGTGGTTGGATAGCCCAAAAATTACACATTCTTTTTTGCCCATGTGAGAAACGCAGTAAAATGGACTCTTACGATGCAATCCTTGCTGATCCATCTCACTTAAGGAGGAGGGAAATACCATTCCTAAAGGAAGCTCCATCATAGGAGACACATCTCCAAGGGACGAAACTTAGCACTTTCACACGAGGGGTCGTGAATGATATGATGTAGTCTAATCAGGCCTCCAACCAATATAGTTGTATCCAGACATGCCAATCAGACATCATTAATGAGAATATAAAGGAATAAATTAAAATTCGGACCGCAATTTTTTCACTTT